AGGTAGTCTATGTTCGTCAGGCATTACCAAAAGCATGGGCAATTGTAACTGCTCTTTTTGTGAATATATTTCAATTACATATTTCTGATGGATTCTTTACAGGTTACACAGCATATGCAGATTTCGCTTTCATATGCTGATGCTGTAATTGGAGAAGCTGGTGCAAATATTAGCTACATCCGTCGTTCTAGTGGGGCAACCATAACCATACAAGAATCAAGGGGGGTCCCAGGAGAGATGACTGTTGAGATTACTGGCAGTGCTACACAAGTTCAAACTGCTCAGCAGTTGATACAGGTACAGTCCATAAACCTATATCCTGGATAATCTATTTTTTTATGTTAGATATATTTAATTATTTTAATGAAAAACTCAAGGCATGCCTTGTTACCATGTGCTTTTGCTTTGCAACATGGGTCACCAAGGTTTGAATCATGAGCATATTTTTTTTATATGTAGGGGGTTGGCTGCATGTATTACTCCCTAGACCCTGCAGGGACAGAGCCTCATGCTTTAGGCTGTATGCATTTGTTGTTAAAGAACTTTCTTATTTCCTTGGTATTTCATGTTGGAATTTCACCAACTCAAGCTTTATTATTTCTTCTAGGTTTCAGTCAGCGGTCTGCTTATTTTTTGTTTGCTACTTGCTATTTTTTAAATCGAAAGAAAGTATATGGCTATTTTGTAATTTTATTCATTTTTAAACTTTTTATAGTATAAAGTTTTTTTGGTCCCATGTATGTCTATCCAGTACATTTTTCGTGTATTTTATGCATGTATTTAAGGTGGCTTCTGTCTTCTAAAGAACTTCTGCTATTTTGGAAGATATATATCATAAATCTGAAGAAAATATCTTACTAGCACAATATATGGCTATTGTTTGCTACTTGCTATTTTTTAAATCGAAAGAAATTATATGGCTATTTTGTAATTTTATTCATTTTTTAAAACTTTTTATAGTATAAAGTTTTTTTCCCCATGTATGTCTATCCAGTACAATTTTTGTGTATTTTATGCATGTATTTAAGGTGTCTTCTGTCTCTAAATAACTTACAATGCTTCTGCTATTGTGGAAGATACATACCATAAATCTGAAGAAAAGATCTTGCTAGCACAATTGGCTGAAAAGAGGTGGGAGAAACATGAAATTAATCTATCCTAGAAAAGAAGCTTGGGGCTGCCATTTCATGCAGATTATAAGCAAATTTTTATCATCGGTACTTCCAATATTTATGTGATTGACCATTGGGTCTATTGTACCCTTATCTGCAAGTAGCACAACTAAACATGCCTATCATTCGTCATCCTTTTACCTCTAGTGTGAACACAATTCTCCATGTTGGCTCCATGAATCTTATTGCAGTGTGCTTGAATCATCCATGATTTTTTTTTTTTTTGTGGTTTGTGTAGTCCAGATGAAAATAAGTGTAGATTTTGGATTCACCTTTCGGAGAAAACTAGAATTGAATTGTATGCAATTGTTGTATGTAAGACAACTCAAACAATGAATGTCTTACATGATGTTTAGAACTCATGATTAGAAAGTATCCCGCTAGCATATTGGAGATGGGAATTTGATCTTTATTGGTGGACTTGTCTCACTAACAAAACTAGTATAATTGCATATGAAGGTTTTTCCTCACTTCTGTTCATTGTCTTTTACCTCATAAATTTTTTTTACCTCTAGCGGGCTAAATCATCTGTTTATGTTGCAGAATTTCATGGCTGCAGCTGCAGCTCCTCAGCCGAGCACAGTAGGTTCCAGCGATCATGGTTACAGTTCATATCAAGCTCATGGCCCGATGTACGGATCTCCAGCCAATGCTGGACCCTATGGTTCCTCAACCTATGGAGCAAACTATGGGTATTAGGGAATATTTGGAAGGTTTAAAGAGTCGACAAGCATGTCCGGTGCACTTACCCTATAAAAAGACCGAGTCTGTAGATGGGGATTTAGTTTTGGATTTTTATTATGGTCCTCTTGTTTGTTTTGTGCCAAGAGATAATTTGATGACATTCTTGCTGTATCGTCGTGTGCTACAGTGTCAACTGGTCAGGCCATCGGTTGCAATGAAAGCACATTGCAGGTTGTGAATCTTTGATGGATCAATCATTTGGTGGCTGATTGGATTTGTAGGGTAGAGAAACGGAGCGAAAATAAAAATTATTTGGTGTCGTCGTAGTGACTGTTGCTTTCTTCATCGGTAGTACAAATTTGGGAAAAAGAAAAGAAAAACTAGTACTCGGTATGGACGGGAAGAACCCGTTTTTGGCCTGTGGCTTCTTAAGCCTATTGTGTGTCTCGACTAAAGTTATATGAACGCGTTGTTTCATATGCCAAAAACGATTAGTTTCTTTGGGTTTTGAAGCACCAGTATGACTTGGTTGATGCACAAATGCTAGCCGGAGCCTGGAGCTTTGGAGAACGTCGATGCTTAAGTATCAACGTTGATGTGGTCGGATCCGGATGTTGTCGGGTTGAAGAATGTAAAGTCCGAACTAGGTTGCTGTGTTGGGTGGGTGACGGCAATCCAAACAAACACAAGGACAGCACATAACAACTTAATTTATGGGTACGGATAAATAAAATAAAATAAAATAAAATTCCCATGGCATTGGTGGGATCGGAAATTAATTTAAGATCAAATTTTCCCGCTCCCTTTCCGCCCTCGTCAGGTTTGCCACTCCATATAAACCCCCAACCCCAACACCACCACCAATCCCCCCTCCATTCTTTCTCTCTCTCTCTCTCCATGTTCGTTGGATTTGGAAGCCGACGGCGGACGATTCTGAAAGCGGATCACGCAAGGTGAAGGTCTCGTTTCTCGCCTTTTCGCCAGTTCTTGATCTGACCGGTTGATTTCTTCATTTTGTCTTGGAACCAACGATTTCAGGAGGAGGAGGAGGAGGAAGAGGAGCCCACCACGCGGTCTGCCTCGTCGATGCCTCCATTGCCGCTGCCCTGGTGACCTCTCTCTCTCTCTGTCTCTCTCTCTCTCTCTCTGACAGTTTCGCTTAGGGTAGATTAGTCACCAAGCATGGTGGGGCCGTTTAATACACGTGGATGTAGAGTTGTTATGGCGTCCAAACAGATCCAAATCGGTATCAGAGATTTGAATTCGTAATATCCCATATATATGTATAAGTCTTTATAGTCAATTGGTCATTTTGATAAAAATAATTTTTTTTTTTTTTTTACATTAATGCCATCAAAAAGCTCTCTAACATGATATAAGTTCCGTCACACCCCAAAATAATGTTCCAAAGGTGTAAAATTATCTTAAATAAAAATATAATTTATCTGTAATTCAGTATCCAAGATATAATATTTGAGAACACTAAACATATTAAATTCTCATTTGTATCTATAGAATTTGTATAGTTTATAATCATTCAATACATCACATCACTTGATAACTTCTTAAAATCTAATATCAACTAAAAAATCATTAATAATCCATTTATAAACCCATGAGAGTAAGAATTAATATAATCGTAAAATTAATCATTTATCATAAGTTAAGTTTATATCAACAAAGAATTTCAAAACTTAATATTTTAAACTTTTTAAATATGAGGTCTTTTAACCTTTACAAGATATATGGATTTGGATTTGTTTGAAAATACATTATAAACAAAGTGTACTTTTACACTAAAATCATGTTAAGTCACCAAAGATTTGTCAAAATCTTTTGGCATTCCTTTGTCTTAATCCAATCCTTAACATTTCAATGAGTGACAAATTAATCTGAAAATTTTATATCTCATTTAATACAAATGAGAATTTGACACACTTAGTATTCTCAAATGGTATATCTTAGATCCAAGTTTAGATTATGTATGAATCATAATTTCTTGATTAAAGATAAATTTATATTTCTTGAATGTTATTTTAAGAGTGTGACAGTAACACAGAACGATGAACCAACCCAAATTGGTTTGGAGTCCACGATACACATGTTGGACAATTAAAATTCACGTCCAACCAAAATCTATCTTAATAAAACACTTAAAGCTCCAATCAGAATCTCGAGTACATGTGGATGATCTAAACGTGTGAGAGCATTCATATGTTACGTTACAAAATTATAACTTTGTTCCGCTAGACAATTATTTATTCGTGAGACCAACAAAGAGAAAGCCATGGTGATAACTTGAGTCACACTTACCATAGCATGACGACAGTTTCAAGGGGGTCCTCACAACCCAAATCCACAACTCTTCAGTGCCACCTTCGGAGGGACAACTCATTCTGGAAGATTGTGACGCGGCTGCTGCTCACAACACCATAAGTTGGCATCTCAGCCAATCTATGCACCAATCAAGGCTTGACCTGTACAGAGACAGCTTACATTTAGGCGACATCAATACAATAACACCCATAGATTCATACCAGATGTCAGGAGGTGGTGGGGCAAAAGGATTGACCGTCTCAAGCTCTCTCCAATGATCTGATCATGGGGTAGCAGTCTAATAAACAACCAATCAAAAAGAAAATTGAGAACGAAATTATATGTAATAACAAAAGATCGAGGATGATATATATATACAAGTCAATATCGATCAGTAATTTTGTTGTTGTTTTTCAGATATATATTAGAAAAAAAAAAATAATTAAAATTTGACTGTTTTATGTACCTTTATCCTTTCCTCTTTTTTTTTTTTCATCTTATGATGCAGCGCTGACCTCAAAAGCTATTCTCATTTTGCATGCTCCCACCACCCGTTTTTTTCTGTTACACATTCAACACCGTCTCCTACAGGTTCGGATCTCAAGCTCCATGTTATCCTCAGGCCACCATTCCCAAAGGCAAGCATCCCCTCATTAGCTTGACCAGTCTTGTGGATCTCCTTTCCTCTTGACCTCTCCCTGATGCTTTCTTTCTCGTTGAAACTTCTCTAACTAAATCACCTCCGGCTCCACCTATCAGATGGGAGCTCCAAACCTGTCCTCTAGCTCATTGTCATCCCAACTGCCGGTACCATCTCTGCAGCGCTGCGCTACTGGCGACGGAGGAGGTAGCCGCAGATGAGGGATCCGCAGCCGGTGCTTGTGCTGGCCGAGTCCGGGCGGGTGGAGCAGCTGGAAAGCTTCCCCCATTATGTTGGTAACTATAAAAATCAGAATTAGATACATGATTTCCTCAGTCACACATACCTTTGAATAACATATCTTCGCATTAAGAAAACTCCATAACACAGTAAACATTATTTAGAACATCAGTAAGAGAACACCCATTATCATACTGGAGCTATCTTATGATACTGAAATCTTATGATCTTAAGATACCCATTGTAATATTTTCCTCCCTTAAGCCGACGAGAACCCGAATCCCATCCCATCCTAGAAAAATGACAGGGAAACAGAACTGCTGATAAAATGAAAACCATGACTGGTTCATATTCGACGGACCCACGTCCATGCATTGTACCTGTTTGAAAAGCTTTTCACCTGGTCCTCCTCCACATTTTGCATTTTGTTTACTGCATCGTTTATTGTCTCTTCCAAGGGATGACATGTTCTGATGGTGTAATTGCAGCTAGGCAGATGGGGATCGAGGACGTAAATGAGTGTCCTAACCTGTGCAAGATGGCACATGATTACCTGAGGAGAACCAAGGAGTGCGAGGACAATTTATTTGCCTTCTTTGCAAACGACCCAGACCACGAATCGCTGTATGTGAAGCTTGTCGAGGAGCTGGACAAATGCATTCTTGGTTATTTTGCTTTCCACTGGAATCACACCACTCCCCTGATCAAACAGGTAACAACACAAGATATATTAGGAAAATTTTATAGCACATACTCACCAGACAGTAATGAAGCCCTTTTCACATATGCAGTGTTCTCCATGATAGATTGTTGTATATTGTACAGGTATTAAACGCTGATAGCGAACAGAAAATGAAACTCAAGAATTTTGTTATGGAGGCCACAAGGTAATAATCACTAACTCCCTTAATTCTCGTCCACCTAACTTGACAAGGAAAAAAATAGTAATTAATAACTCAGTTGTCCTCTTCTCATAGAGACATTAAGATGGCTCTTGAGGACTTTCTTGGGACCCAAAGTTATTATTTTCAGTGGAGTACAGAGTAGTTGGGTCGAATGCTCATTTAAAATGCCAGTTTCCTGATCTGCATCACCATTTCACTCTATCACATCCCTTTTCACAGTCAGTTCTAAGATGCACCCAGAGTATCATTCTTTAAAATTGAATGCTTATCACTGAAACATTTATTTTGTACATTTGTTGTTTAACCCAAAAAATGTTAGTAGTTTAGATGAACTTGCCAAAGGAAGCACTCACCAGCTGAACATGAGGATAATTTTCCGGATTGTAATAAAAACTCTTCTCATCCCATGTTGCGGTGAGGTTGGGCTTGTGGAACCACATGAGATGCGGAAGCTCAATGGTTCTTTGGTACTTGTCCCTGCGCTCATAGAATGATTCATATATTAATATGTCAAGGAGCAAATGTGCTACTAACTCTGGGTTTCTTATCAAGATTCCACATGGGAATCTAATTATTCTCACGGGATCATAGCATCTTCTTTAAGAACATGATGGAGATGTGACCCAGAGTGCCATGTGGGATATAGCTCATAAACAAATGCAGCATGTCATCTAAAGACAGGGAAATGGCATCCCCCCTCACAAAGGTGAAGGGAGACACATCCGAGCCAGCGTGCAGCTCCCTCCTGTGTTAGGATCCATCCAACACAATGCAGGGCGGCGGAGGGCCATATTGGTTGATAGAACAGGCCCCCCCACAGTGTACATCAAAGATTGCAGTTGCTGGTGGGAGGCCATGGTTGTCAACCAGAGGAAGGCTGACAATCCATCCCTGTTGTGTTGCTTGACGAGACACAGGAGCTATTACCTCATGTTAGCTTTTGTGCAGTGACTTACAGCAACATAGCACACAAACAATAATAATAATAGAAGAAGCAGGAGAGAGAATACCACGTGCAAGACTTTTTACCAGACCATGCTCCAATCCATATAGCTCTATTATCAGGACAAGGCGGCCTTCGTATGATTCACAAAACATAGTGTCTCTTGTCACTGTACCTGAAAAAGTCTCCTGGCAGTGAGTGTTTCAGCTAAAACATATTCTATTAGACACCTACAAAAGAAACCCAAAAAAAGATGACCCCATTCATGGTAAAATGTGGAGGAAAAGTAATGGTAGATCATCTCACCACTGTTTGGTGTTTTTTTTTTGGATGTAAAAGCATTTCTATACTTTAGTCCTCATGCTGTTATCACAAGAAAGCTATAGTTTTCTGAATCAGTTAACATACTTTTAAGCAAATCAAAACTGATTCACTAACATAGTGGTGGTAACTCTCATGGTTGAACACAGGAAACTAAGATTTGAAAGAGTGACAAAAGACCTGAAGGTCACAAGAGTCATATCGACATTGGTGGAGGAGATGAAGGCCATTCGCATTGGAACCCATGATGAATCCCACTGCACTGATGTGATGGTTCCGGCAGCCGTTGCTGATCGGAGCCCTGTTCTTCTTCTGATGGGTGGTGGGATGGGAGCTGGCAAGAGCACTGTGCTCAAGGAAATACTGAAGGAGTAAGTTCTTTAATTCTTTTAACATCACACTAAATTAAAACAGACCCAAAATGTAATAAGGGAATGATAAAGAACAGAGATTAAAAAGTACAAAAACCATCACCAAGTAAACCAACTTTAAAGAAGCTTTCATTTGATGTTCAGATTATATACAGTATGCCTGGCACAAAGTAGCAGTCATACCATGTGCATCTTAAAACCAGGGGTACATATATAAAGTAGTAATAATTACTAGTTTCTTGTCATTGAAGCAGTTCATCCTAGCATATTCATTCTAACAGTATAATGAACTAAAACTTGGCGAAATACCAACTCCATGACTGTAATTTCAATAAAGTGGTATTAAAAAATAAATGAAAAAAGACATCGGTTAGTTAGAGACCAGAAGCAAAATGACACTTGGTGGAAAAAAAAAAGGTAAAATAAATTATAAATTAAAAAAAATAAATCACTGCCTGGACAGGCATCTCCATTGTTGGGTAGCACTATTAGACATATACCAGTATATCAGAATAGTTGATTATTAAGGTATGGTCTGAGTAGAAGAGTTAAAAACAGCTAAGATGACAGGTGGGATGCCCAAATGTCCCATGTCCTCCACTCAAACAACCAAGATCAAAAGGACAGTAATGGTTCTAGGTCACATTCAAACTAAACAAGTTAAAAAACTTCAGATCAACAATGTATCTAGTTAGATATATCTGATCCTGATATGACTGGAAAATACCATATTTGTATCTGCTTTTCATCAGTTAGATATGCATAGTCTTTTATCATGATACGTTGTTACCCACATATCAGAGCCTTCTGGTCTGGCGCTGCAGCAAACACAGTGGTGGTTGAAGCTGATGCGTTCAAAGAGACGGATGTCATTTATCGAGCTATCAGCTCCAGAGGTCATCATGATGACATGCTCCAGACTGCTGAACTGGTATTCCTCTCTCTACTGTTCTTTGTTTAGAGATTTTATTCCTTAACTCTTCTGCTTTCAGTTGTTCTTCTAGAGGAAAACATATATTAAATATACATTAAGATAGTTAAAGCATCAAAATCCCATTTGCTTTGCTTTGAAACATTAGAAACTGTTCCTGAAAAAGATTATGACATCAGCATCAAGAAAAAAAAAACTACAATTGATGTAATAATATTTTTCTTATCTACTCTATGTCTCGGCCTGTCTGTCTGTAATCAATTTATTTGGTCCCCATAGAAAATTCCTATTTTATTAGTCTATTCTTTCGTTATTTCTCTGTGCCCTCATTTTCTTGAATTCAAACCTACAGGAAAATTTTATGATTGCTCTTTGTTTGCTTGAACTGCTCTAACAAGATACTTATTATTGCCAGCAAACTAGATTCCACAATGATTTTTTTACTTATATTTGCCTTAATTAAAAAGTTGACTCAAACTTGAGAGGATTGACTCCCAATTATGAAATTATTAGAAAAAAATAGATTTACTCTAGTGTCATTTCAAAGTTGAGTGATGCTACATAACTAATATCATAACTCTTAGATAACAATGATGATTAACAGAATAATGAACACTTTTGCAGAAATATAAACAAACATGATTTTTTTTTCTAACTAGTCCAGGAGCTAAAGACAAACCTTCCGCTTGGAGCTTATACACCACATATCACATACTCCATGACTATCAAATCTTCCGAAATAGGGAGGACAGACTTCTGATTCAGCCTAGATGTGTAATTTCCTTCGAGTATGGATCTGATTCTGAGTTCATTCAATCTTAGACTAGATTCAGTTCCATTAATCTATGCCTACAATCTAGTTAAACATGGGTTCTCTGAAATCCATATCAGATCAGATATCATCAACAGAGTTTAGAGAATATAGATCAATATCTCCAACATCAATCAGTAAATAATCTGATGTCATCCTTGTCCTCCTCATGGTCTAAGCTTCCAGAATAAACTGAGCTCACACAACAATTACAAGCAGGTCCATCAGTCATCGACAGACGCAGCTTCCTCTCTACTCGTGACGGCGCTGAATGAAGGTCGAGATGTGATCATGGATGGCACTCTCTCCTGGGAACCATTTGTTCAGCAAACCATAGCCATGGCACGGAATGTACATCACCAGCAGTATCGGATGGGAGCTGGATACAAGGTTGCTGATGATGGGACCATCACAGAGAACTACTGGGAACCGGTGGAGGACAACCAAGAGAACAATAAGTGCAGTACAAGGAAGCCTTACAGGATAGAGATGGTTGGAGTTGTTTGTGATGCCTACCTAGCAGTAGTCCGAGGAATCAGGTACGACTCTAAAAAAACCCTACTCTTGAATCAAACCCAAACGTAACAATTTATGCCTTGGGAGGTTCATGCACCTAAATTGAATATATATATATATATATATATATATATATATATATATATATATATAGGATTTCTTGGGTCATAAATACTGGATAACTAACAGAGATGAATAGAGACAATCAATGTGGACAGGAGAAGTACATTGGCTAGTTGTTCTAACCTGAAATTTTCGACCATAAGGTCAGTGAGCTGAAAGTTTCCAAGCTCAACTCTATGATGTCAATGACAGGAGAGCTATAATAATGGGTAGAGCAGTTAGAGTAAAATCCCAATTGAAGTCTCACCAAAGGTTTGCTAATGCCTTTCCAAGATATTGTCAACTTGTTGACAATGCCAGGCTCTACTCAACCAACTCCATGGGATCTGCTAAGGTTTCTTCCTCTCTCCATTTTTTTCACTTAAAAAAAGAGCAACATTCAGCCACCATGATATCTTGATACAGGGTAATATAGTATTGGCTTTCATGCTGTCTGCAGCTGATAGGTTGGAAGGATGGAAGCAGCAACCTATTGGTAGACCCACAGGAGATCATCTGTCTGGAGAAGCTGAGCAAAGTAAATGAGGATGCTAATTCAATCTATCAACTCTACCCACAGGAAGATACTAGCTCCGGGTCTGGTTTCATTTGGGATGATATGGTGATGTCACCAACAAGAGAATCAATCCAGCAAGATCTTAAGGAAGCTATTAAAAGGATCGAAAGTCCTGCATCATGATGAAAACTGCCAGAAGTCACCACCTCCCCTGTCAACGTCGGATATAGATCATCAATATGATTGAAGCAAGCTATAAAAATCATACAGATCAGTGTCAAATCTCTAATTATCAGCCAGAGTTCTATTGTGCAGATCCTTTACCACAACAACCAAATAACAGTAGTAATGAACTGTCTCTATCAAGGAATAGTAGCTCATCACATTTTGGCTTCTAAATCTTTTTTTCACATTCTGATTCTCATAGCAAATAAGGGAAATCCTAGTGACATCTGACATCAAACCATGAAAGTTCTAATTTAAAAACATAAATCCAAATCCTAAGGACACCTACCAGGTATGTTTTAGTCTGTCAAAAATTCTAAAACTGAAGAGTCTAAAGTCAGACTCATAATATGCAAATAATAGAACAATGACATTATAATTCTTCGCCCACCAGGGCATGTCAAACTACTTAAATAGAATCCTAAAGTTCAAAACAGCAGCTAACCCTCATGTAATAATGAAAATGAACTGAATAATGTTGCAATATGAGTTCAACAATTGGTATCAATGAAATCAATTTTTCACAAAACTTGCATTTTAAAAGTCAAAAGAAAAATGTAGCTTTCAACCATTTCAAGTAAATATTCAATCTTTTTAAAATGTCATATGTGCCTGAAATATGAAAATAGATGGGGATGTTAGCATTCATATCTAATAATTTGCATGAGAGCCTTTACCAAATTAAATACTCAAGATGAATGCCAAACAAGAATAATTGTCTCCAAACAAAGGCAGAAATGCCTAAAAGTTCAATTTCCAAGCATAGTTTTCAAAATACAATATCCAAAATAAACTTCCTCGCACCATAGTATAATCAATAAATTAAATCACCCTGACCTGTATAAACAATAAGTGCAACAACTGACAACAGACTAGAGGACCCAGGAAACTTGCTGCTACATAATTAGCAAAAAAAAGACAATAAATTCAAAAATCAAATATGCTAAATGCTTGCCATGTGCATTCCTTGATACAGATGGGGACTGATTCTAGAATTAGCCAATGAATGATCCTGTATTTTAATGTAATCCCACCAAGATATCATGCAGTAATGGAGTATGAAGCTGAGATCTCCTCATGGGAGCCATCTTTTTCTTATCCCCTTGTAAATCAAACTCTACCTTCAACCAGATTACTACAAGAAACTCCCACAGCTGGATGCTAAACTTGATAGATCATAACCATTTCACAATGACCCTCGTTGTACATTTATCAGAATATCAGCAACTTGAAAGAACCTTAATTGAGACACAAGAAATCCTCTCTCTTTACAGCCATTGCAATTCTCACCTGGGTTCCTAGCCCCAAAGAAAAAGCTGATCTCTCTGTATAGTTAAATATTCTTGCAAATCACATATTGCTTACCGGAATCATTTTTAACAAACCCAACCCTTTTGTTTTCACTCCAGCAAATGTATGAGCTACCAGATATCCCTTAGAATCAAACTCTCCCAGAAAGAAAATTAACAAAAGCTGACCACAGGGGAATGCATCATGAGCATCCTTCAAGCACTTTACAAAAAACAACTAATTGCATATTTTATATGACCACCTTAATTTCATAAGTGCTTCCAGCTCAGCTAGTTTTAGTATATTAATTTAACACTGAAAAAATTGTCACTTAGGCCTTGCTTCTCAGGAACAATAATAATAAACTATGTATTAACAGAACTAAAACATGACTTGTTTAACTGGCCGTAGAACTGGCTCCAACAGTTGAAAGTGCTACTCGTCTAATGCCCACCACAACTAGGTCCAATATAGATCTATTGCAAATTGCAAACAAATAGACTTCAGTAGGTTAAATATTGAGATATATTTCAGAAACCATGCTACTTAATGACTAGGTCCAACTGATCATAGAAACCTACAAACAATAAATTTACTTCATTGAGAAATCAAGCAATTGCATATCTGCTTATCAGAATCCACCTGCTAGAAACATCATAGTAACCATCAGCTCTAGTAGATCTAAGATAATTTTACGAACAAGTTTTAACTGACAAGATATTATCTTTCTCCTAGAAATTGTGGGCAATCCATGCTAGGTCAGTGGTTCGCCAAACCAATACATATTGAGTGATGTTTATGGATCCGACCAAGGATTGGTGCCAGATAGTGTAAGTTGGTACATATCAGAATTTAATTATTTTATTATTTTTTAATGATACAGGTTGGTGTTCCACCAACTATATTTGGTGATGTATTAATCCGATTGCCGAAACTATGACACTAGCCACTTGGTACCAATCTAATATAAGGCAAGGTAAGGTGAGAATTATAGCGTAATTAGGAGGCAAGATCACAGAACAGTCCAACACAATCAATATGAGCATAAATTTGTATGCTCAGAGAACTAGTACAAGCTTGAGACAACATTTTGATCTTTCTTTCTAAATCGAAAATGAAAAGCCTACCATTTTCATGTAATTGATCCTTCCAGCTAAATGCACTCTTCAATGGTAACCAAAAATCCTGACATTCTCTGACGGTAAACTCTTCCCGGATAAATAAACACCCACCAATAAATAAACCCCTGACATTCCCTGACTGCAAAACTTCTTGAAATGGATATGGCATGAACATGCAATATAAGCCTGCTCCAATAATATCAAAAACAAGAAAAAAGAAAAAAGGGGGCAAAACTTCTTGAATTGGATATGGCATAAACATGCAATATAAGCGAGGTCCAATAACATCAAAAAAAGAAAAAGAAAAAGAATGATGACACGCAAAAAGGCCGCTCCATTCCCTTTTAGCTTAAATTCTTAGTATAATAAGCACTCTCATCACATGTAGATGACAATGTTCTACCGCAAGTAACAATCGTCCACCCCCATTTCCTCTGCTGCCTGCTGCATCGTCAAAACTCAGGTTCAAGTCAAAACCCCTAGGAACACTATTCACATTATCTGATCCAGTCCGTCGAATACAGAATCCCGATGACCAAGATTACCGTAACATCCAAGTTAATCACCAGAAACAAATGGAGAGAGATTGAATCCACGAGTTTCAAGATAAATCCGCCCTTTACACTCGAGAAAAGGAAAACGACACAAAGTTATCTCGCGTTCGTTGACAACAAACGAAACTGAACTCCGCCGAACTACTCGATCATGTGAAAACGTAAGCGATGATTACCAAACAAATGCACGACGAGATCAGAAGAAGGTAGCCAGATACCTGGTCTTCGCTCTTTATTCCGAGAGCCAAACGAAGAGGACGACCACTGTTCGAGGGAGACGCTTCTAGAGAAATGACTTCTCGAACCCGGCCGTCGCCAGCTTTCACCATCAACTGATCGTGTCGTCCCCTCCAAAATGCTCTCCGTGCCTCTTTACCTCCTCCGAACCACTTTTAACTTCGAATTCAACGACCTCAGTCGCGACTTAAAAGTAGAAACCTCTAACGACAAGGACGTACGCCACGTCCTAAAGTGGTGCCCCAAGTAGTGTTTTAAGTCGTCCCCTGTTGGCATCCCTTTCAGTCCACGCGTCATGTGTCTGAGCGGCACACTTTTCTGGGCCCCTCGGATGGCCCACCATTTGCTTTTCCTGTTTCTTTTCTCTTTTTCGCATTCCAATACTTTTTTCCCAAAATAAAAAACTGTATATTCCAATATTACATATAAGCTATCGAAAGGTAACAGATCGTTATAACTGAAACAATTTTAATAGGAAACGGATTCCAACAAGTCAGTTTCGACGCTCAAATCGTCGTCCACGTCGCCAAACATGCCGTCTCATCACTGACCACGTGCACCCTCAAGCAAAACGTCCACATCTACCCCCACAAAGTGGGCCCAAACCGACCCCGAATATAATTCCAAAGATTATAATATTTCTTAAAAGAAAAAAACATTGGCATAGCTGCTTTGTTAGCACCCTATTCTCTTACCACCTAAAAGCACGCGATTCCACGCGTACACTCACCCACCACACACCGCCCCATTTACATCGACTGCCCCACCTCTCCCTCTTCTCCTCCTCCACGTAACAAAGAGGAGTAAGAAAAAAGAAGAAATATTAGTAAAACAAGAGACATTTTCATTACTGGAAGATTTCTACTTCTTCGCCTTCTTAGCCGCCGCCTTCTTGACAGCCGGCTTCACGGTCTTCGGCTTCTTCGCGGCAGAGACCCGCTTCGTCGCAGCGGTGGTCTTCGCCCGAGGCGCGGTCTTCACGGCTTTCTTCCCGGGGACTTCCTTCGCCGTGGTCTTCCTGGCCTTCGCCGGCCGCGCCGCCGATTTCGGCTTCGGCTTCGCTGGGGACTTGCGCTTTCCTGCTACCTTCGGCTTCGCCACGGCCGACTTAGATTTGGTCTTCACCGCCGCAGCGACTGGTTTGGCCTTCGGCTTGGCGGCAGCGGCGGTCTTCGCTTTAGCCTTGGGCTTCGCCGGGGCGGAGGCGGATTTCTTGGGGGCAACCGCGGACTTGGGCTTCGCCGGTGCAGGATGAGCGGCAGTTGAAAGCTTATAGGAGCTCTTCACTTTGGTAAGCTTCCCGGCGGCGGCAAGCTTCTTCAGTTGGACTAGGAGGATCTTGCGGAAGTTGGACGGAAGGTGTGCCTTGTGCTTGTCCTCGATGAACTTCCCGATCGCGTACGGGCTCGACCCCGTTCTCTCCTTGAGGGCCGTGATCGCTTCCTTGATCATCTACAAACACCAAACAAAACAACTTTAGGTCTACAGAAACGGGCAGATCGAAGATAAATTAGGGCTTCGAATTGATGGGATCCTCACCTCAGCATAGGGCGGGTGTGCGGAGGGCTTCCTCGGGGCAGCAGTCTTCTTAGCCTTGGCCAACTTGGGGGCCTTCGTCTTCTTCGACTTCGCCGGCTTAGCGGCGTCAGCGGGGGCATCCTCCTCAGCCGGCTGGTCCGCCGGGACAGGATCCACGACGGGCTCTTCAATCGCGGTCGCAGCGGTGGCGGTCTCCTCGGTCGCCATCACAAGAATCCCTCAAGCTCGAGCGCAGTGAATTCTAGCGTATCGTAAGCGAGGACGGAAGCTAGTGCGTTTGCAGCGAGGCGAGAGTAGAGGAACGGGAGCGCGGTTTATATACGAGGAGCACGGGCGAACGCTGAAAGCTGATTGGTCCGCAGATGCCGCACGCGGATCGATACCGCGGCCTCGGTTCAAACTTGGGCCCTTAGATTCAAAATCATCAACGGTCAGAAATGGCCGGTATGTTGAAGCGTGGATGAAACTCGAAGGAAGGGGATAATAGTGACTTGGGTTCGGTTGTGCTTCTCTCCTCACTTTGGATGGGAATAACTTAAGCTATAGTCGATGGATTCCATTGATGTTTGAATCAGGTTATAGCTATGGATCGTAGCTTTCCAATGAGCATAGACTTGCATGAATCTGTTGAGGGATCATGGAGAAATTTAGTTCTGAATGTGTCATGGTCTGAAGTGGGTTTCCATGTGAGCTTGGTTAAGATTTGGAGCTCCAGAGTGAAATGTATGGAGCTTTGATGGATGCTTGTGATTACAGATGATAGTAACAAAGAAAAGGGATCGATGGTATTTGGAATCACAGAAATTGACCGAGATTTTGATAGGTTAAGATGTCTTCAAAGAGTGTGTAACTCACACATCTTTCATATGAGTCCCATGCTTGTGTATGCATGGATGGAATTGCATTTCTTTCAATCAGGTAATTATTTAGATAATTACCAAATATTTACTAGAGGATTTACCTGAAAAGATGGAATCATTATTTAGTCATTATGGCTTGCTGTATATAACAGTATATCTGCATGATACTGTGATAGCTAATAACTGTGTGTGTGTGTGTGTGTGTGTTCTAAGATATGATCATTGGAATGTATATTTCATCCTGCAATTGACTTATCTGATTCTAAAAAAAATCCAACATGTTTACAAGTATTGAGTTTTCCTATCACAAAATGGATGGAACTTTCAGATTTGTGTACAATAGTTTGCACTTCCTGATATAGATTTTCATGACTTGTCACAGAGCAAAGCATAAGGTGATGGAAGGTTCATGTTCATTTTAGCTTTCATAGAGATGGATCAGTAGTGTACTTCTGAATCCACAACTCTAAGAAAACCGAGAAATTTGCTGGTAATGCCTGTGGATTTGCTTCTGAATCATATAAAACCTTGATGTTTTTTATGAAGCTGAAATCTGTTTGTACCAGAGGCAGCATTGAAGCTCACTGGCTTTCTCAGCTCATTGTCAATTCTTTCCCCTTTGGAACTGTTTCATCTTTACATAGACCTGTCAAAAGTTTCAGAAAGCTTTCATTAAGTATAACTTATGCTGGAGATCATGACTCTAACTGGAATAATGAGTTTAATTAGCCAAAGTATATTAGAATAGCTGATGTCCACTAGGGTAGACAGTTTAGGTATTTGGGTTTTTTGTCAAGAGATCATGAGTTGAAATCCTCTTCTTAACCTGTTTCTGATGAGCAACCAGTAAGAAGATGAAGAAAAAAGAAGTGGTTTTGATTAAATCTGCAACAAACACTGTCTAATTATTTTTGTTGTCTGATAAAAGATAGGGAGACTATAACCTTAGATGTGAGATAATGAATTCCTTAACAGGTTGACAGAAAACATTTTTCATTTAATTATAGATATTATTTTGTACAGAACTCAATTTAAAAAAAAAAGGAGAGAGACAGATCCCAAGGAGTTAAAATTTTACTACTTATTGTTGTTGTATCCACCTTATTAATCTAATCTTGGTTATATTTCTAGGTGTGAGAATGCCAACCAGTCACTCCACAATTAATAAAGCAGCATTCTGGTCTCTTTTCATTTCCAAGAACTCTTTTCAGAAATAGAGATGATAAAACCATGCAGATATACTTGCAATACAATTATAATAATAACAATTGTTTCAATTGATTTTGAAGCAGAAAAAGAAGATAAAATGGTGAATCACACACAGAATATACAGACAATCCAGTAGTAAAACCAAATACTTTTCTCTTCTTCAAAGCTAAAATGACACCATAATGATATGCCACCTCATTTATAACTGCTAAACTGAGGACAAATTGGTGTTTCATGTGAATCAAGAACATACCACCACTTTCACAGCACAAGTTGTATGAACAAGAATACACTCGTCGACTGAAACAGGGTCTGCTACATCGTAAAGCACAGAAGCTGAGTCGGATGCACAAGGAGGGGCACCTCAGACGCAAGAGGTAAGTCCTGAAGAATCAACCGGCAACGGCCAATTCGATGTAAAGGTTGTTTGGGATTGTTGTTATTGCTGTGCATTCACTAGGCTGGAACCCTGCGGCGCCTGTAGCCTAGCACCACAACAAACTCTTTGGCCGAGGTGCCAATAACTGCCTGCAGCTTCTGCGATGAGCCCCTTCGTACCCATTGCTCTACTAAGTTGTGCAGAGACAATGTGGGCTTCACTGGTTCACCGTGACATGTGATTTCCACCTGCAAACACCAGTTAGAGAGTTGAAGACATGCGAGCTTATCGACCATGGCATAGTGAATGCAAGATATGTCGATGTTAAGTTAAATCAGTCGTACTTGTGTTTTTGATGTTGCTTATGATAACCATGTATGTTAAGAAAAGCTAACTATACAGAATAGTAAGGAAAATATACTTCAACAGAACTATAGTGGAATGCAACCTGGGTTGGCTTAAAATTAAGTTTGGTTCTTTAAAACAGCTCGCTATGAACCAAATAAAACTCAAGCCAGAAAATTCAAAATATATGAACATTCTTTCTGTTATGTTGCATTTTTTTTATGTTAAATAGCACAAATAAGTTTGGTTCTTTAAAACAACTCACTATCAACCAAATAAAACTCAACCAGAAAATTCAAAATATATTAACATTCTTTCTGTTATGTTGCATTTTTTAAATTTTAAACAGCACATATTAATAGAATTGATTCCTCACTATCTCAAAAACATTTAACTTTTTTGATATAGAAGTAATATATATTGGTTTTAGAGAAGACTTACCTCAGCTTCGCTGACAAGATTAAGCTTGGTGACAAGATACTTCTGAATGTAAGAAACAGGCACGTTACCATCTCTGGGATCAATTAAAAAATAGAACAATTAAATGGTTGATATACAAAATGCTTGAAAAGAAACTTTTATAGAATCATATCGTGCTAAAAATATGGTACAAGAACTTACACTTTGTTGATAGTTACATTACCTATATTGCATAGGAGTTAACTGGATGACCAAATACAGCTAAATAGTTAGCCCCTTCATAAATTAATTATGCAATGTTGTGCATGTCACCAATAAAAGATATGGTTATATGCTCCATTAGTTAATCAGGAAAATTTTGATTGTTTGCTTTCTATATCCTTTTATTAGACTATCTTGCTCTGTTCTTTATTACAACTTAAATATTATTGACAAATGTATTCACCAAAAGACTTGGTACACATTTTACATAACTAAAGGAAATATAGCTATATTCCAGCACAATTTTGAAAATATTTAAATGAAAAAAGGAAGATTAAACAAGGGCAAATTTGTAATTATTGGAGTCACACAGTTGCATGTGGATAAAATTCACTCACTTTATCCTCAAATAACTAGTTGATATCTGGGGCAATGAGGAATCTCCTGTCCTGAAACCATTTCACATGAGATGAGTAAAAGGACAATCAAATATAAGAAGCATGTGCCCTGCAGACAATGAAATATATAACTGCCAAAAGTCAAGCTTCATAACTGGTCAAAAGTTGCAACTAAGGAAAACCACAAAGGAGTTATCATCCTCCGATCACTTTGAGCATTTGCAGCATGGGGCAAAATTTGAACCGAGTTTTTAAGGTTCCTCCTTTTCTTGCTGACTCCTTGCAACCTTTTGGCTTTTACTGTCACTGGAAGCAATTGATCACTGTCATTATTCTCATCCTTTACCTCAGACTTGTGAGGATGTTCCTCAACCCTGGTTTTGTTAATATTTACTTCGTTATCAGGAACATGTCTTTGCTCTGCTTTAGAAACAAGATTCTGCATACTGGACCTACAAGATTTTGTTCTATTTGCAGCTTCAACCAAACAATTTAAAGGCTTCCAGAGCTCCGCCTTATCCTGAAGGGGCTTTCCACCATTCTCTACATCCTTTTTAGCAGTGTTGCTGGATATGTCAGCACCCAAAGAAGCCTGAAAATGTAAACATAATTCTACAAAGTGAAAAAAAAAGTTTAAAAAGGACCACTCAAAGTTTAAGCAGCAAATTTATTTAGCCACAAAAGAAAGAACAAAATAGTATGTCTTTTACCTGTCTTCTGCTGAGGGACAGCCTACTCGGGTTTCCATTTGAGCTTGACTTTTTCGCCAACTTATCAATATCATTATCCTCATTTATATTAGATTCACTAGTAGCAGGACTCCGTCCATGAGATGTGGCAGCCCTAGTGCCAACAGTTTTTCTTCGCCTTCCTGTCAGGCCTGTCTGTGCAGCTATTCGAGGAGTGTTCACCACCAATGAGGAAAGTGATATTTCTTTTCTTCTAACAGGCAATGTAATGAAAGGAGAAGGATCAGGAGCTCCAGCCTTTGCTTTTTTGAAAGGAAATATCTTTGCTCTCAGATCTTGCAGATTGTGGTCAGCTCTGTGAATAATCTTAGTATTGAGATATGCATTAACAGATAACTATAGCAGTATGTTACTAAAGTAACAACTCAAACGAGATTGCCCATGTGTTAAGGTTTGACAAGAATCTAAGTCTAACATTCTTCTTCCTATGTCTCGTGGAACAACTAGATATTAGTTTATCAGAAAACTTGACATTATCCAAAAGCATTTTTCATTTCAGTCAATTATTAGAGAAGAAAATGGCTACCTTGTTCAAACTTCAAAGACAACATGCCCAACCATAAAAAATTAAAAACATAAATTTTCAAGGTTTTAGACCAAAATATGAAGCTGAAGTATATATCACAAAATAAAAAAAAAATTCCCTTGCTTCTCAAATAAAAGAGCAATTGAGAAAGCTACATCTTAGACGCTAGAAACAACAAGAAACCTGTAGAAAAACTCCAAACACCATCGAGAGTGCTTCATGACTCTTGCCAAAATACAGGTGGATTGTGGACCATTTATATAGCGGTTTTAAGCAATCATGGCAGCTGTCAGTCATAAGAGGGCCATTACTATGCAATACATTAATATCTCTTAGTCCAGTTCAAAAAGTGGTGATATTGAGATGAATGACAGTATTAATTTTAAAGACAGTGTCTGTAACACAATTGCATATGCACATCATTAAATATGGAACTCAGTTGCTTGGTCTCACCATAGCATAGCAACGAGAGGTAATGGCCTTCCCTTTACCCACAATAAATATCAACTGGATCTAAAATAAATCTGAAAGTCAATGTAAATTTCTTATAATGCCCTTATCTTAATTTGTAGGTCAATTGTTCCTCATATTTTCTATAAGCAAGTCATTTAAGAGAATCTCCTAATGGAAAAAAATATGAGCATTAGTTCGTCATTGTATAGCTAAATGGTCTCATCTATCTTTCCTGATGTTCCATGGTGAATATGGCAGCCAATTGCATGATATATCAGATAAATCATACAATGGGATTAGATATGCTTGATTTCTTATACGAATAACTTAAAGACTTAAACAATCTAGTATCTTGGCAAAAGAGTCTATAGACAACAGTTAAGGAATTCAATCAGAACTTTCAAGATATATTGCTACAAGAAATTTCACGTGACATTCTTCATTGCTAGATTTTGCCTCCCAAGCATACCATGATTTATTTAGAAATTTTTCAAAAGATTTCCATGTATTTCAAAATTAAAATTTTAATTTGCATAATCAGGTGGGCAAATTGCAGTTTCCAAATGAAAGAAAGTATCCTATCTTCTGTTGAACCATCAAATATACTGTCTTAACTATAGTGAAATGCTATCTGGTCGAGGCAGGTGAATGGCATCACAATAATCAATACGACACTCTCATCTAACTACCAAAATCTAACCTATACACAAACAACATTCTGAGAGATGTGGTTCTACTTTAATCAACATTTATAAGCTTCACTTGCCAACAGCATCCAATAGGACTTCAGAAATTTGGATTGTTCATTAACAAAGATGTTTTACTTGAAAACAAGACTCTTCTGAGAACTGGTTAAGATAACACTTAAAGATCTCTATAGTTGTGGGCATGTAGGAAGGACCTTCCAAATCAACATACATAGGTACCCACCAGACAAAATTGCAATTTAACGTATAAGAAAAAAAAATCCAATTCTAATGGTAAATAGTAATACATCTATGACCCTTAAACCTAATATATGAAACAAAAAAAAGATTAAACAAAATACCTATAAAATAAGTTCACTTTAGTTTGGTGGCATGATGCCTTCATGAGGTATTATCACAATAAACAGATTGCCTCTTCTAAGATGCATGTTCAAGGACTGAAAAAGCCCATTAAATCCTCATTCATGGGTCTATATCATTTGATGGACATATATCAGGTAATCAAGAAATAACAATAAGGCAACAAGTGAAATTTATTGAAGAAGCAATTACTAACAGCAAGATGAACAACAGTGTCCTACACGAAAATTTACTAGAAAGCTTGATGATAAAAGAATTACGTAGTTTGGCAAGTCATGTTGGCATTAGGAATCCACACCATGCACATTTATGAAAATCTTCATCCAATGTTAGTAGTACAAAACAAAATTTTCTGACATCTTGCACTGGGACTGGCTCTCTGCTCTCTTTCTTTAGTCTTCAGATAAGAAAACAAGCAGATATTACTAAGAATCATGCAACTGAAGATCTCATAGGTTCTCCTATACTGTGGCCTTAATGATGAATCCAACCTTCTCTAACATATTCATCATTTCTATCTTTCCCAACTGTTATAATGCATCTATCTAATACTCAGCTTCTTTTGAACTTCACCTTGTTCTCTTAAACCCTTTTCTGCCTTAGATGAATGAACTAGTAATGAGGGCCGTGATCGTATGCTGTGGTATAGTCCTAAGAAAAATAATGCAAGGTAAAGGTGCCCAGCATGCAACTTCTTGCTGGTATTCAGGGAATTTAACTCATTTTCTCTTCATGCTAAATTTCCAGACCAATATCCTCTTGATTGTCCTCGATATACATTTTTAGCAAGCATTCACCATCTACAGAACATTCTCTCAACCAAATGAACAGAACAGCACCATATGCATTAAATGTGACCCATGATAAACCCCTTTTATTCAAGACTGAATATGAAGTACATGTTAGTAATTTCCCATCATTGGGACAGTTATCAACCCTGTTATTCAGCATAGTGTGACAAGATTTTATGGTGTTGGGTGCTTCTAGGTTTTCCATTAAAACTCTCCATGACTGTTTAAACTTGTCAACATCCATCAATAATAAAGAAGGGTAAAGTAGTAGCATCGAAGAAAACTTGGGCTATGCCTGACCTCGAAAAGCAAATAATTACACAAACTTATATAAGTTCTACAACTCAAAAAGAGATTAACAAGGCTTCTGGGACAAATAAAAGTAATAAATATAGCAAAGTCAAACTAGGAAACCATGTAACATAAAGTTTTCCAAGAAAACCAAATTTACCTGAGCTTTTCTACAGGTAGGCAACCCAGATGAATACCGCATACAGGGCAGAAATCTGCCTCTTCTTCATTGAGTTTGTCATATATACACTTCCTGCAAACTGTTGACAAGTACAAATATCAAAGTGATTAAATGTATCTCGGAGAAGTCATAAAACAATCTTCTGACTTTGAAAATCTAAAAATCTAGTACACACTTCCAATTTAAGTGACCAACACCAACCAGATGCAATTGCAAAGTGTGGAGGGAGGTTATAATAGATCAACTCGAGGGTGCGAGAGAAAGAGAGGTGTTAGCTCTTTAGTCAGATTGTTACAAAAGGAAGTGGAGGTGAATAGCCAAAGATAACCACACAAAAACATAATGCAAACATGTACACAGAGATTGCAGCAAATAATCACATAAAAGAGTATAATGGTCAATCCATTACTCCAACACATATTATGTTTATGAAAAAAAATGATTCGAGGATTCTGTCCCTACTTCCAAGAATATGAACAAGATATACAAACTATAAGCTTCAGCCGTAAAATCTTAGCAAAAGACCAAGCATAAAAATCATGAACTGAATGGGATTCAGTTGAGGATATCTAGATATCTTAACCACAAGATCATATTACAGTACTTCTTCAGAGTTGACCAATTAACAGAGAGGATCAAACAAGCAAGTAAGAGAAGTCTATGACCGGCATCTATGATCAGGTAAGAACTCCACGTCAGCTCAATAGTTCAGCACCTCGCATAACAACACAAAACAATCTCAACTTCCCTCCCGGATAAGGAAACATCTAAAATGTTGCAAAAGAAATACTCGTCTATACATTACCAAAGATAAAAACCCAGTTTAAATCACTGCATGCATTGACGTCCCTTGCTTCCTTGCTAAAAAAAATACAACTTTAACCCGGGAAAGCCACTCGATTGGAACTAACGGAGACCAAAAGAAGACAAAGAAAACGCTATGTACTGCATACGAAAACCAGTAATCATTTCTCCTGCCTCATCATGGAAGCAGAGTGGATGGCACGAAACAACACAGACGCCAGAACTGGCAACCAGTGCATGCGACAACGAAGCCTCATGCCAAAGCGGAAAGGTATTGGAGACCTCGAAAGATACCAAAGATCCGGCCTTTGTTCAGACGCTTGCTTGGTTCCGATATCAAGAACTAATAAGTACGCAAATCATTAACACGAAGAACATCATGGACCCAAAACAATAACGTAGAAGCAAGATCGTAGAAACCCAACACCACGGGGCAACCACGTAGTATCACCGAAGAAAGCCACTGACCGCAACCTCAAAGGATCCGAGGGATAAGAAACCCAAGTAAGTGGAGGCGAAGGGGAGAGGGGCGGGGGTTGACTCACACGTATGGAGGCACTCGGATATGGTGGTGGCGTCGCGGAGGAGCTTGTGGCAGATGGGGCACGTCATGCACGCGACCAGAAGCTTCCGCTTCACCTTCACCACCTGTCCCAGCCCCGCCGCCGTCGCGGCCTCCGCCCCCGTCCCCGAGGTCGTCATCTCCGCCCTCGCCGCCAGCAAAGGGCCCCTCGTCACGCCGCCGCGCTCCTACCCTGCATGAGTGCTCATCGCAGCCTAGGTCGCCGTCGACGGTCGTTCCTACAGCTCAAGGCGCAGCATTGACGGACGAATCACGTGCAGCAGCAGGGAGCGGCGGGGATCCGACGAGAAAAGCCAAACAAGATAAGATTTTGATGCGAAATAAGGCACGAGGGGGACGAAGGAGCGGCCTCGAGGAAAGATTCGGGGAGGAGCGACAGGGGTTTGGAGCCACGGAGGAGGATCGAAGGCGGACGAGGAAGAACGCGAGAGAAAGGGGAGAACCGGATGGTATATATGAAAGAGAGAATTAGGAGGAGGTTGCCTCTTTCGTTCCTCGTTCGAGCATACTGCGCGCAACCCGCATCGCTCACCCTGAGAAGGAGGGGCAGCGTTTCCGTGAGTCTTTTCCATGGGTCCCATCGTCATTGTCAATCATCGAGCGGGTAGCTGAGTTCACGTAAAGTTCAGATTGGTGGGGACAAGCATTGGCTCTGCGCGAAAACAACGTGTCTTGGGGGCTGCCCTCGGGTCTTTGTTGCGCCAGGGGCTGGCTAACATACGCTGTGGAGTGCGGTTTTGGAGGAATAACGGGTAGAATACCCGCTAATTTCATGCTACCGGATCCGAAATCCGATTAGCATCCTCGTTATGTAAGTCCGAGTCCGACTCGAATAATTACTTTCCTACCTGAACATACCCGAAACCTAATCAAAGGATGTCGGACTCTAATCTTAAACGGTCGGGTAGATGTAAGTAACCCATACAAACAAACAAAAAAGCGATTTCATTAATAATATTATTTTTAATATCTAATCATAGAATACTCGTGGCCTATTATTCGGTTCGACTCATCAAGAAACAAATTAATTTGATTTGAATTTGTTTGGGATTTAATCTAATTTTCTTAATACATGCATACGTAGATAAATACATACCAAACATTTTTTTATTTTAAAAATTTATATATTTAATAAAAAATAATAATAATGTGAGAATAATTATTAATACATCTCAACGTCACATGAGATACGACGTTACATAATTGACACCTTAATACTCGTGTTAGATATGTCAATGTTATATTATTATGTAGTTGATATGATCATGTCATATCCTTTAGACATAATACGAATATATCATATCATAAAATTATTTCGACATTTAAGTACAACGGTGCAAAGTCAAAAAGCAAAAATTACTTCTTGAAATATGCAAGTTAGAAAGTATATTCTCGATGTCGTTTTATAGAATTTGATAAATTAAAATTTTATAATAAAACATTGAGATAGATATAGAGTGTGCCATCCTAGTCAGATAATCAAAATATATATTAATATATATAATCTTATATTTTTAAGTTTTTCAATCAATCATAAACCTTCACTTTGTTAAGGTGTTATAGATTCATTAGTCATTGATGCTGGATATAGGAAAATTGAGATTGCTATTAACGATCTCCATTTTGTTATTAATATTTTTTTATTTTTATATAATTATCTAAAAAATATAAAATATAATTTTATTGAATACAATCAATTAATTATTAATCATATTCTTATTTCTCATAACCCCTTAATTATCTAAAAATGATAGATAAAAAAACTTATTTTAAAGGGATATATATATATATATATATATACTATCGGTCTTATCCAAATCCATCCCGACGTCATCCAACGCAATTCAATGCAGCCCGGCCCAGCTTAGTCCAACACGTGGCTGAATGTTATCCGTCGATCCGAGTCTTGAACGGCGGATCTTCAGTGTCCAAACTTACCTTCGGCGGATGATATTTTTATTGGCCTTCCTCCGGCTCGGCCGGCATCGCCACCGCTGTCTTCTCTAATCGCTTCGCTCGCCCGCTCAAATGGCCCTTCTGTTGTGTCCGCCTCTGTCTTTGAATACCCAGCGGCCCCTGAGAGACCTGTCATCGCTCTCTCTTCTCTCGAACCCTCGCGTCGTCTCCGTCCGCAGGTTCGCCTCTTTCCAATGTCGATGTTCTTATGCTCTTTGCTTTCTGTCGTCTACGATCCTTGTTTGTCGAGGACAAAATATTTCGTAATGCGTAGCTGACTCTATCGAATCATCATTATGCAATTTGAAATTATCGTGGAGAACCATCGTATTACGCTCATCGTCTTGATTTATTGTCGATGAAACTGTCACAACTTGGCCGGATAACATAATTGATCCAATAATTTTATTAAGCTTGAACTAATGATCCAAAGTCAGTGCTAGGAGACCGATCTAACCCTTATGTCTTCTACTTTCGGTGTAGAATTAAGGGCCTGATATCCTTGGCAACTTAACGTAGTTCAAAATCAAATCCTGACAGGGTGGTTCCATATAATCCTTATGTCTTCTACTACTTTCGTTGTGACGTCCAATCTAGTGGTGGCTTTGTTTAATCCACCGATAGTCCTTCTCTTCTTGAACCCCTCACCATGTCCAACACATATCACACTGTAACATGCCCTCTAGTCCCGTGCCTTTTACTATATCTAATACTAGGTCTCTCACCATGCTTAATACTAGGTCGGATACCATTTGTCATGACTTGACCAAATGAAACAGTGTCCCATTAGCTTTGTTGAGTCTGAATCATAAACTCCAAAAGCTTTTGTCCAAGTTAATGTTAGTACAGGTAGTCCTTATAAGTCCATTCAAGTCATATTCTACTTCGGATGAGGGATTAAATCGGGTATTATAGAAACTGTTGGGATTAGTTTTTTTTTTATATTACATCATCTTCTTGCATGGGTGCTTATCGGTTAAAAAAGAAAATTTTAAATATTAAGGAGATTTCAAGGCACAGGCAGTCCACTTTGTTGTGGATTGGTAGTTTTTTTTCCCTTTCTTTATGGATCAACTTGATTATAGTTAAGAAGAAACTTAGAATTTTGATGAGAATCTCAAAGCACAGGTGGACATAATTTGTTTTCTCTCCATATGAAACAATTTGATTATAGTTAAGGAAAGAAAAAATTAAAATATTGATGAGAGTTTCAAGGGACACACTGTCCAGTTTCTTGTGCCCAAGTGGTAGTTTTCGTTTCTTATGTGGAATGGCTTGATTTCATGTGTTTTATTTTTTCTGAAGCCGGATGAGGACTTCTTGAAACTATCATTATATCATTTGTCTGGTGGGAATTATAATGAATCTTCAGGTTGCATCCTTGCCTGGGAGGTCAAGTTGCTCGGGTACCCGATGTTACGCAAGGGACTCAATGATTCATTAGTTGCATAACGTTACTGTGCCTTTCAATTCTTATTATTTTGGTGTTAGTTCACTTTGTGCTTTCGGTTATCCTGTTCTGAATGGTCTGACAGTACAATTTTTGGCCCATCTATGCTAGCTCAAATTAAGCTAGGACTGAGCAAACTCATTTGTGCAGTAACCTCAGATATTTCCCTGGCACATGATATCCCTCGTCCACACCTCATTCAGAATGTAGCCTAAACTACATTACTGGTCAAAACGAAACCTACTTCGTTGTCCTTATATTATCTAACAGAGATCGTTCAAAGTTTCCAATGAACTTGTTAAAGATCATTATCACGTTGGATCCACGATACCTAAATTTAATTTGCAACTTTCTGAATTCATGGTCAACATCTTTTTACTTCAGACGTTCCATGGTTAAGATGAATAATTTGCTTCATCTTGTCAACAAATTAGGATTATACTAGGAGAGTGATACACAACTATTTGCATATTCTATGATTTCTCAATGATTTTAATTGGAACATACTCTTCAACTTAAATTTTGAGATTTTTAGTTCCCCTCCCCCTTGACATATTACAAACACCCTCCTATTTGTTTGTACATAGTCGAATACGGTGATTTGGTGGAACATGATTTCATCAATTGTGCTCCCCCTCAAATCGCTACCAACAGTACTCTTGAATGTGGAACTCACCTCGCCTCTACGATCAAAATATTATGGTAAATTAGTTTTAGCAAAATGTTCACTCGATATGTTTCCAACATTTGTATGTCCTTGTCCATGAAGTGGGTGAGAGAGTTGATGGATTTTGTTTTGTAAGCTCAAGGAACATACTTATCACATAGATAATAGAAAATAGCTTTTACATTAAACGCATATGACTGGAAAATAAAAGCATATATGAGCATTCCTAGATGGTGCTCTCTGAGTAAGTGTGAGCAGCATTGCAAGAGTCTTGTAGAGAATGAGAAAAAAGTATGTCTCCTGATTGTTATAAAACCTGGTCGTTGTTTTTAAGATTTATCATATGGGACTGTCACAGACACACAAGAAGTGGATTTCTGGATGGTTGAAGCTTTTGTAGGTAGGAACTGGTCATTGACTTTTAAAATTTATCATATGGGCTAGCCATGAGAAGTGGATGCTGGACAGTTGAAGGCTTTTTAGGTGGGCTGGCACCTTCGCACGTGATCTCTTTGTCTGTTTCTGTTTTAAATAGAAATAAACAGAATTATGCAATGTTACATATATCCGATTTTGTTGTCTCATTTTCTCTTTGGCACAATAACTTTGGCCTAAACTGTATTAAATAGCCAAAAACTAAGTTGTTGTATTGAGTCTTCATGCACACCTTTAAGCAGAGGATTTCAAATATTCATGATTATGGGGTTTGAAATATCTCCTCATTCTATTCCATTCCTCTACTTGCCTCTTTTGCAGGTTTAAGCAGTGGAGTTATAGTCCAAAGATCATAGATCATACTGCAATTAACTGTAGATCTACTAGGGTGAAAGAATCCCCTTCAACTGACACTGCTGCACTGATCAGAGAACCACACAAGTATTTCGATCAAGTCATTATTACTGTACGTGCTGGAGATGGAGGCCATGGTGCAGTTCTCAGCATGCCAAACCAAAAGATAAATTCAAAGACACAAGGAAAATATGGCCACGAGAATACTAGGAAGAAAAGCCCGTACAAAAGGGATTCAGATGGCTCACTTATCTTACCAATGGGAGGACATGGGGGTGATGCAATCATATATGCTGATGAGAGTACAGAATCTCTTTTAGAGTTTCACCAAAAGAAACGATATTGTGCAAAGAGAGGGGGAAATGTTGATGCCATGGGTACTTTGAATTCACAACTCCATGATGGATTTGCTGCACCAACTTTACGAATACCTGTTCCTGTAGGTATGTATTTTTCTGTATTTGCACAAGTTATCAAGGAATTGCTTCATTAAGATGATTGAGATGTTATTATGGATGTGATAACTTCTAAGTAGCTCATAACTAGATGCCGTGACAGGTGTTCTGTTTTTGTGTCTTTTGGAATAGGAACTTGCATATCTTCTGAGGATCAAGGTTTCTACTTATTTTCTTTAATTGCTAAAATGCATGTGGAATTGATTTTGTACCAGAGATTGCCAATTCTTGGTATAAATCAACAAAAGGAGTTTCTGATTCATTTGGGCATAATTTTATAATAGTCTGGACGGATTTTGTGTATAAACACGTATGTCTTTGTTTATGATATGCATTGAATATCTTAGACCGCTCAAATCGATAAATTCCCCAATAACCTGATATATTTCATTTTCTTGATGGTTCTAGGATAATGCTACATGGTGAGCCGATGTTGCCTTTTGATGTTACTTATGTACTTAATGCAATTGTAAATGACAACATTTACCATGTTCAGTGGTATATTCATAATGCACCACAAAAACACATAATATTTGCATAATTAACAACACCTCTAGGTTAATATCTAAAAATATCATCAATGGTAGAGCCGTTTAAAGTATAACAGGCTCCAAGCTTTATAATTAACTAGGAATTTAATATTATAAATGTATGGGTACCTACATTTTACGTATTTGTTTGCGTAACAAAGTATGGATTTCAAATTTTATGAAAACTTATATAAAATTTATCTATCCTCAAAATTGCATCTTTTTTCAACTAATGACATTGTCTTAGATTTTCTTTCTGTGGCACATGCAAGTGGTGCTTCTACAGAGGATGAGTTGCCTTTCTCTCTCAATGTGTGTGTGTATATATTTATTCACACATGCATAAATGAGGAATTTATATAATATTTAGCAAATTGAAACTTACTACTTGTGGATAACACTAGTTGCATGATGCTTGACGATGTTCAGTTGGCTGTAGAACTGTTTCCTTTTCAACATTGATTTATGGTTCTATAACTTTCTGGATATCTAGGTTACTCAACTGTCACGGACAAACTTCCCAGCTAAGTCCGTGACACAACGGTAAAATAATTGTATCTCGCTCTGTATATGTAAATGGATCTTCACAGTATGCAAATGCATACATTTACCTTTAACCGGACATTAATAATGGAAATCTGCATCTGTCTCTAACATCTCAGAAATATGACAGGCACGGTTGTAAAACACAGAAGAGGAAAGATCCTTGCAGATTTGGCACAGCCAGGTGATGAAATTCTTGTTGCAAGGGGTGGACAAGGTGGGGTGAGTATTAGACTGACTCTATTTTTCAGAAGTTATGTTGCAGAAGTTTCCAGGCATGTAGTTCTTTTTCTTCTAAATCAACTAGACAACCAATTTATCTTAAACAAGTTTATCCTGTGATTAAAGAGCATACTGCACTAGCAGATATAACTCAAAAAATGAAAATCAAAATAATTGAGGATCTAAACCTCTGTTAAATTGGTCTTCACTTACCATGCCAACCTTAGCCAAAAATTGACTCCAAACTTTCACTATGAAGTCCAAAGCTAGCAGTAATATCCACTTGGCCAACCAAAGTATTAACATTCTGGTTGCGTAGACCATGACATCATACAGAACCATGCCATCAGTTGTCATCGCCAAATGCAAGTGGCACAAATATACAAATATAACTCAAGAAAAGTTTAGTAAAAAAAAAAAGAAAAGAAATGGGTAGGTCCAGTCCGGTGAGATTTAACCTTTACTCAGAGAAAAGGAAAAGGAGAAGGAAAAGGAAAAGGGGAAGATCTAATTGCCAAATAAATTTAAAATTATATATATTTTTTAACTTGTCTCCTTTGCACCGCCCTTGGTCATGGGTGGCACACACTTATTCCGATCTGCTGAGGCTTGCTGGTCCAATTATTCTGTTGGTTTTTGTATTTTTAATGTTCATGGGAAAGAATTAAGAATGGGGAGACTGTGTTGAGGACAAGTCAGTAATTAAGTTCAAAAAATAAATCCATCCTTGCTCTTTTTTCGTTTTACACTGTTCCTATAATGGAAACTTATAATACATAGTGCGCCATAAAAAAGCAAAAGTGACAAAACCTATCGTTTACCAAAACTAGGCATACCATATACCTTTCCTTTGTCAAAAGGTTACAAGATGCCAATAATAAAAGCTCAAAATCAGCCAATAATAGTCAGTCTGATGGCTAATAATCATATTCATTTAACTGGGAATTTATAATGTTAACTGAACATCATTAATTGACATTTTGGCTACTTTCTATTCTGGCCTTATATACACTAATTCTTTTTTTTTTGTGACAGATTAGTTTGTTAGAGATGCCGGAACACAAAAGGAAAAGGTTGATGGCTTTAACTACTAATGTAATGAGAGATGAAAGCGACAAGGTAAGAACTAATGAGTAGTTCAAGTTGCTTCCTTTTATGTTATGATGACAACATTAATAGTCATCCGGGACTTTTGAACTCTTTTAGTGGTATCATCAAAATGTAGAAGTGAAATTACATGGTGTCAATTCGAATTACTCCAAGAACTTACTTCGGGTTGGGTGCTTGAATGTCCAGGGTGTGCTTATAGAGATATCTTTAGTTTCTAAAAAAAAAAATCAGGAGATAGAAAACTTTGAAAAATGAATTTTCTAATTAAAAAATGGAAATTATATTCTTGGGGAATCACGTCTCCTGTTTTCTCAATTTTGTAGACTTTGGAAGGCTACAAAATTATATCCCAAATCACTTGATATTTTGTGCTAGTCTTGTCATTGTTATCATTTTCATGTGGCTCATGCCATCTTTATCACCACTTTCACTACCACATTGTTGCAACTTGCAACTACAATCAGTGGCTGACTATCATGTTCACTAATGTCATTGGAATTTTCACTGCCATCACTGCTATAGCACTACCCTGCTACCAATATGGTGACCACAATCGCCATCCCCACTAGCACCATCCCACTACTATTTTCAGTACCATTGTTGCTTTGTCCATCACTATCGTCACTACTGTTGTAACTATAGTGTCTATATCATTGCCATCTTTATCCCACCAGTGATTGCATTATCAGCTCGTAAATAGCACCATCATAGCACCACCATTAACACTTAAACTATTGCCAGCATCACCATCCTCCTCCACCACTGCTGCCTCACATCACTAGAACATCAGTATCGCCTCTTCAACCATCATCACTTTCACACCATATCTTCATAATCACTGACCTTACTATTGCTTTCACCTTTCACTTGCTGTTTATGACTGCTGCAGCCACCTGTGTCACCACCAATGGTACTAGAAATCGAGGGTGAGGTAAACAAATAAGGGAAATAACTTTGGATTTTGAATAGGTCAACTTGTTTCCCATTTTTCTACAGAGAAAAATGAACTAGAAAGTAGAAACTAATATGAAAACTAGAATATTGTTTTATGAAAGTCAACATCATTAATAATTTTGAGTGTTGCAGTTGTCTTGAACTTTTGTATTTGTTAATAAATGAAGAACATTTGTTGAAGCAGGGTTTATTTAAAAGCATAATATACTGTTGTAAAGCAATATCACCATTCAAACCAAGATTTGAATTAACTATAAATATTGCTCACATAGAGCTCAATGAAACCCCAAATAGTTGGGACGTTGCAGCTTGTTCTTTATTTAGCACCTCACCATGTATATCAAATGATTTGCTTGCATTAACTTTTCTTTTTATTGTTGTTTTATAATCCAGTAAATGCATATATGTCTTCATTAAGCATATTATTGCCTTCCCCCCAGATTTTAGTTCTTGGACAACCTGGGGAAGAGGTTAGCTTGGAACTTATTCTAAGGGTGGTTGCTGACGTTGCTCTTGTGGTATGTGTAAGGATTATTTAACATTTTTACTTGTGTCCGAACAACAGCAATTCATGTAGAGTAATTCTCTAAAACATATTTGTTGAAATGTATAGAATGTGAAGAGGGATTGTTAATTTGAGTATTATGTTTGATCAACTATTCATGCAGAGTAATACTGTAAAACATATTAGTTGAAATCTATAATTTGAAAACTCAATGAATGTGAAGGTGGGTTGTTATTTTGAGTATTATGTTTGATCAACTATTTCTAAAGACTCAACTTCATATCATGTCTAATTGAAGTCTAAAGGTTATGAAACAGATTATGAGTATTACATAGAACCTGATGATAATTATTTGTCAATTATGAAATGCTGTCTGTAGAACTGAAGCTAAAGAAATGTGAAACACATTGAGATTCAGTTTAAGTCATTGGGAAATGGTGACTTTGCTATTTGTTTCTAAGAAATTTACAGTGAGAGGACCTAGTAACTATTTAAATATTCTTTTCAAGACCCCTTAGGTGTAACAGGAATATCATTTCAAGAAAATTATAATCAAGAATTAGAACCCTTGAATACAGCTCATCAATCTGCCTTCTTTAGATATGTTTTACTTCCAAAATTGTTTCGGAAGATAATCTTCCCTTTTTATGCAATATTTGATTTATAAATGCTTCTTTTTTGTGGATTTTTCAATCAAAATTTGAACTTCTTTATAGGTTTGCAATTCTAAATTAAGCTTTGAAATTCTCGATTGAACCAAATTCTGATTTTTTTATTTGGTTTTCTTTTCCATCTTAAGCAATATAAGAAAGTAGTTGTGTGACAAATTAAGTTATTTACAAAAAACCCTTTTAAGATATTGAAATCATAAAGAGAGTCAAAGAGATCTGTCTTTCTACCCTTTTCCCCTTGGACAGGCAGGATCACCTTTCCTTTGAAAGGGCAGACAAGCTTGACTCATTGATTAGACAGTGGTACCGGAATGATAGCAAACATCCCTTTTTCTCTTTCCGATTGGTGTAAAAAGAGTGAAGATAAGATAACTGAAAATGAAAAACATGTTCAAGTTATTCATCAATTTAAAGGTATTTTGATAGATCTTTCTTCTTTTCACATCTAATGTAAATCCAGAAGGTACCTCAACTGATATTATGATCAGGTTGCTTCATTACAATTTAGGTAATGAGGATTCAAGCTCTGAAAACAACCTCTCTTTATAGGGGTAAAGGAACATAGTTTTGAGTCTCTTCAACAAAGTTTTAAGTCTTGATCCTAGACCTGTACTGTTTGCCTGTCGGATTGGTATGGGTTGTATCTATCAGTGTGCCAACATATGGTATGCCAATGTACCGGTCAGCATGGGCCAATGATAAAGACTGAGGAGGGAGGAATAGGAGTAGGGAAGGGGGAAGAGGGGAGGAGGTAGAGGTAGTAGTATTAGAGTAGTCCAAGGAGGGAGGAATAGGAGTAGGGAAGGGGGAAGAAAATGTGGTGGAGGTAGAAGAGGAGGAGTACTGGAAAGGGGAGGAATCGACCATCCGATGATGTAGTGGGGTAGCAACAGAGCACTGGCAACAGGTAGGAGGAGGAAGAGTTGCATGGAAGAGGAATGTCGGGAGAAATAGACGAGGGAGAGAGGATCATAGGAGGAAGGGAAAAAAGAAAAGAATAAAAGAAGAAATAGTTGTGAATGAAGTTATCCAATAAAAGAAGGAAAAACTAGTGGTACCAGGTGATAGGCTTATCCAATACCCCCAATTTAAATAATTGAAACTGGGTGGTAAGCCCAGTTCTCTAAGGTTATCACCCAGCAACCTTTGTTTTGGAGACAGGGCTGGCAATTTTCCCTAAAGGTTACCACTTGGTAACCTCTCTTTAGGATGGAACTGGGTAATTTCACCCTGTGCATTGGCATGAAGCCTTGTGCACTTGTTTACCTAAAACAATAGGTTTTGCAACAGTCTAAAACAATAGGTTTTGGAACAAAGTATAAATGTGCAATCACAAAAAGCAATTGTTCAACCCCATTAGATAGATAAACCAACATAAGACTAGTACCAGATGATAAAATCTCAATAAATCTTATTTTAAAAAAGAATTAAAGGTTCAATGTGCGATGTTATATTACTTCTGAAGATATCTACTAAGGACAAAGATTATCCGAAAACAAGCATCAACAAACTATACTTTTGGAAGAATCACCATGTATGAAAGTAACTTGGCTACCATGTTAGCTCACTATTTGTCACTGTCAAATTTGCTTGATATACATAATCCACATGTTGATCAAAATATTTTGCTTTTTTAGGGACACTATTTGTCACTGTCAAATTTGCTTGATATACATAATCCACATGTTGATCAAAATATTTTGCTTTTTTAGGGACACTATTTGTCACTGTCAAATTTGCTTGATATACATAATCCACATGTGGATCAAAATATTTTGCTTTTTTAGGGACTTCCAAATGCGGGGAAGTCTACACTTTTAGCAGCCATTACACTTGCAAAACCAGATATTGCTGACTATCCTTTTACAACCTTAATGCCAAATCTTGGTCGTCTTGATGGTGACCCTACTTTAGGGGCACTGAAATATTCTTCTGAAGCAACACTAGCAGATCTGCCTGGTCTAATTGAAGGTGCTCATTTAGGAAAGGTATTACTACACACATGTATTCTATTTCCTGCTTCTATTGGCATTATTATATGCTTTAGCAAGGAATTTTTTTTTAATGCAGGGCCTTGGTCGTAATTTCTTAAGACACATAAGGAGAACACAGATGCTTGTTCATGTGGTTGATGCTGCTGCTGAGAACCCTGTGAATGATTATAGGACTGTTAAGGAGGTGATATATTTAGATTCTTGAGTAATTATCTATTACCATGTTCTGTATATTGGCCTTGATCACAACAATTCTAATAATTTACTGAAAGGAATGATTGTATTGATAAAACAGGCGAAATCATTTAGGGTGTATTTTTAATTATGTTTGATGAGATGCATGGATTTAGAGTTTAGGAAGGTAAAGTGGTTTACAGTTGATGGAAATGGTACGGTCAGAACTTGAGCAAGTGGTAATTTTTTGCTGTTGCTTTGAATTTTGAAGTATAATATTCTTAGGACAGATAGTAGTCTGAATCTTCCATAGAGTGTATATATTTGATCCATCAATTACAACAGTTTAGATGGTACAAGTGCAGCAGATATTTACTTGAATTAACATTAGAGGTTTTGGGCCTTCACCTGATGAGAGACTAATCTGAACCCAAAACCATGTAGCTGAAAAATGTTGGGCTTAGGATGGTTTGGCTGATCCACTTGATTAATAAGTAGACAGCTTTCAGGCTTTACGAAGTTGTCCTGGCTGATTTGTGAGGCAAAACTTAATGTCTGATTGGGTTTATTAAGTAAAATAATCAGGGTAATTCAATGTTTTCACATCACATAGCTGGATATGACGTGTCTTGGTTGAGTTCATAACCAGTAACCCAGTATTGTTTGCCTGTAGAACCCAAATCAGTACATTGAGCTACTTAATAATGTTCCTAGTTGATTTCCGTTGTATTCAGCTTATTATGTTGGACATTCCAGGTTAGTTTTGTATAAAGTTGTCGGAGAATCAATAATTTTTTTGTAATTTGCTCTTATTGGATATTTTCACGTTTGTTAATATTTTTATTAGATTTTTCAAAAGTTCAATTAGTCAATGCTGATTTCACAGTCTGTAGAATTCATGGCTAATGTAATTCTTTTGCAGGAACTTCGAATGTACAACCCAGAGTATCTTCAACGACCATACATTGTTCTGTTAAACAAGACCGACCTTCCTGAGGTGTATCTTATGTGTTTGATATTTGATTCTCTGAACAAAATCTTTGATTAGTCTTGTTTCCCTTGGTTAATTAGCTACATGCTCTTCTACCCTGCTTTATGTGATTCGTCTTTGCTGCATTTGATCAATTTTGTGTTATGCTCATGACTTCTGCAGGCTCTAGATAGGTTGCCATATTTGATTCAAGAAATTTCTAATATTGGATGTAAGGCAACACTTGAGTTGGCAATGAGCCAAAAGTTGACCACTGTAACTGAAGATGAACATGTACCTACCTCAGGAGTGAAAAGTGAAGAGATGAAGGGGATTGAAGACTATCCACGTCCTCTGGCAGTAGTTGGTGCTAGCGTACTGTAAGAATTTCTCTTTGTACTTGTTTTTTCTGATATACTTTGAAAACTAAGATCCATTAGTTTTCTTCCATTTCTGTGTAGTTCTGTTATCATCTGTAATAATACAACAGATGGTTTTAAAGAAGTCGCAAACATTTTCTTGGACACTAACAACCTATTCACATTAAACATATGTTCTTTGTGTTCATATCTGAAACTCATACTGGGACTCAACCCCTCATTTCAAACACTTCATTTGTTGAAAGACAACTATTAACATTTTATGGGTCAGCAAAACTGCTTTGTTTTTATGTTAATTTTTTTATCTTTTTTTTGTGGCATAATATAACTATTTCCAGAGAATCGTTCTCTTAGGAAACCGCTCCAAATTGACCTTCTCTATTTAATGATTATTCATCGGACATTGTTTAGTTCAAGTTTCTGGTTGTTCCTTGTCATTGGTATTGGAGGTACTCTATGATCGAAGATCTCCAATGTATCGATCAAACCCAATCCTTTTGTTGGGCGATAGCATGTGGCTATTCCCAAACTGATCATGGTCTATACTACATTGCATTGCTTGTCATCATCTTCACTACCAAAATATGGCTAAAATACTTGGTCACCTGTGCAGGTATACTGAATATATTCAAAGATAAAGTAGTAAGCTCTTTTTGCAGATAATTCTGATAAGTTCCTGATGGACAGACGTTTTTTACTAGCCTATCATCTTAGATTAAGTCAGAAGCAGCTTTAACTCATTTGTGGACATAAATCAGGAAATGATATGCTAGTATTAGGAATTAATTAAATAACCTAAATTCGAACTTTTGATCCAAGGTTGTGTATAAGAAAGCTTAATCATAGAGTTGTTGTAATAAGAACCTTGTCACTGTACTGTATCTCTTGATCTGTTCATTATAAAATTGATTAGTTGATTATATTATTAGGACAGTGTAAGATGCTTTAATAGGGTCAAATGTATGAGCACTTGTGTGTGATAACTGCAGGCACATGAATTTTATCAATAAATTAGTTAAACACAAACATGTGCAAGTAGCAATTGTGTTATAAAAAATAGCATAATTATGTGCATGACAAGCATAATATTATTTTATAATCAAAAAGAGTTTATGCCTCGTGAATCAAATTTTTTATCAAATTATCTAGACTTTCTTGAAGTGGTTTTCCCAAAGCCATTTAATATTTCTACCTGTTTCAAGTATCCTACATTCCTTTACCCTGTTCCAACTATCTTCATTGTTGGTTTCTAGAAGTTAAACCTTATTACTGTGGCAAATTCATGTTCCGCATTGTGGATGATCACCACTGTCCATATGCAAAAGAGACTACAGCTTATGCATTCCAGCTCAAGTTATGGCATGAGAGATTGCAGGAGACTATTTGCTTTGCGTTAGCTGTCAAACAAGTCATATTCTGCATATACAACATTGAATAAAATCATCTATAGTAGCTTCTCATCGTATCCCTTATTCCACATTTTGTTGCTTGGTTCTGATCATTCAAACTGTAGTATAGTGGTAATTGCATTCTCTACTTTTGCAGAAAACACATTGGAGTTGATGAGTTACTGAAGGAGATAAGAGCAGCTCTTAGGAAATGCCGAGATTTAAACAAAGCTCTGGAACCTGAAAACATAAATGTTGTATCAACTGCAGGAGCTAGGATGAGACGATGAACAAGCTGCTCAAATAATCAAGTCATCATCGCCTCCAATTTTCAAGTCTACATTCAGTTTCTCCTGGATGACTGTGGCACAAATAATCAAGTCATCATCGCTTCAGCGAGTGCACATTGTGTTTCTTCTGGCTTCTGCCACAGACCAGTTTGCAGATATTTGGAGTTGCACTTAGAATCACCATGACTGTGAAAAGCTTAAAGAGCTAATTGTTTTCAGCTACGGCATGTATTATCTTCAGAGCTGTTTGCAACCATTTTTTCCTGTGTAATCTAATTGTAACATATTTAGCACTAAGATGATGATAAATAACATAGGAACAGTTTCAGTGTCCATCATGGCAATAGACTATCAGTTGTCTTCGTACATTGGCAAACTTGGAATGTAATATCTGCCATATCCCGTTAAGGGTTCTGCATGTCTGTTTCGTACTAATGGTTCTGATGTTGATGAACAGTAGAGATATTGATTTGTACTCTTCGAGTCTTAGCAAATGTATGGTTCACCAACTAGTGATTTTTTGGGGTGTCTTTTCTCTAATATTTATAATTTTGTGTGCTTTGAAAAATCATTGTTTTCTTGCTATCACAGAGTTATCAACTGAAATATTCATTTTACAAATAGAAAATTTTGGAAATGGGATATTTATCCCTGCAAAATTTAATTAGCATGTATCATTTCAAATATTAAGATCATAACATCCATTCAAATTATTTAGATTACCATCACTGAATAGTTTAGTTTAAAAATAATAACAATACACAAATATTTTTTGTCATCATAAAACATTAGGAATATAAAAATATCTAAAATATAAAATTAATTTATTTGCCATCATAATTATCAGATTTCAGTTTCTAAAGGATATAAGTATCAATTATGTTTTTATTATTTCTATTCTAATAGTCATGTATTACAAGTTTTCTGATGATATATATATATATATATGTATATGTATATATATATATATATATGTATATATATACATATATATATGTATATATATACATATGTATATATATGTATATATATGTATATATATATATATATACATATGTATATATATGTATATACATATGTATATATGTATATAAATATGTATATACATGTATACATATGTATATACATGTATACATATGTATATACATATATATATATA